ATTTTAAATTTACAATTTTTGAATTTTATTCGTAACTAATACACTTACAAAACGCTTTAATATACTAAATTATTTGTTTTCTATCAGCTCTTTAAAATGCTCTAGAGTAAAATTGGGAGACTTTGTGTTTTGAGGGTCAAAGATTACAAATTTTTACCACATAAAACCCTGTTTCATGGACCGATTATGCCGGTTTCGTTAAAATTGAACCAAAACTACTCGAGTTAATATCATGTTTACGGACACGTACATTATATAACATGGATATATTATATTATATATATGTATAAACACATATATAATATTTTGAGTTATCTAGCAACCCTCTAAACAGCAGCCCTCTAAGGGTGCTTTAGGCTTCTGTGGGCATCGAAATGAAAACGAAAAACGGTTTCGGGTCTATGTTTTACCATAAGACCTTCGGTAATAGCTTTTTCCTATATAGGAAGTTCACTAAAAGGGGATGGATTAAGTTTTACACTATAACATAATAACATAGGTTACTACAAAAAAAATTCAACTTTTAAGGTGTTGTGAATAATCTTTCAATGTGTTTTTTATGCAAATCTATTAAGACCAATTTCAAATTGATATGTATTTTTCTTAGTTATTTATTTAAGTTATTTTTTTACATTTATTAAAAATTAAAACAATTGTGTTTGTATAAAACCTTACATTACTTATTAAAATGAAGTACTTAAACTAAAGCTATTTTTCTACAATTTCCGTAGTATCTCTCATTACAATTTCATCATCACAATAATTATTCTCAGACGACTCATAAACAATTTTTTTATTCTTAGCAACTTGTCTATCTTTACTGATTTTGTCCAAGTTGGTGTTCAAGCAGGATTCCCCTTTACAAACCTCGCATATTGCAGAACAGGCAACACCAATCTTAAAGCACGAACAATGTGGTGCAAAAACACCTTTCATACATACTGACGTTTGCAACTTGTATCTTAATTTCCTCAAAACTATTTTCAATCAATACAAGTACGGTTGTCCTTCGTGGTTATGACGACCAGGACAACACTAAGACCAGGCCTTTGACATGGTGGATCATGACACCCTCCTGGGAAAGTTAAATTTCTATGGGGTTAAGGGGAAACTTTTTGAACTGTTTGGAGTCATACCTGACTGGACGTGGGCAGCTGGTTTGTATAAATGGCAGACAATCCAGTGTACAGCAATTGACCCATGGTGTACCTCAGGGCTCAATTCTTGGTCCCTTACTTTTCAATGTCATGCTTAATGATCTCGCTTTGTGTTTGGGGCAAGGTGTCATCTGTTACGCAGATGATACTACACTGTTTGAAACTAGTAATGAACTGGGAGATCTTGAGGAAGCCATGAAACGATCTCTTGAGGGGGCATCGGCCTGGTTCCGAGCAAATCACTTTTTTCTAAATGAGACAAAGACTAAGTCAATAATCTTTAGCCTAAGAAACTTAGAACATAGTGTGAAATCTGTCAAACTTCTAGGCTTACATCTCGACAATAAAATAGACTGGAATGACAAGATTAGCCATGTTTGTGCTAGACTTTCCAGAGCTCTGTGTCTACTCAGAAGACTGAGATATTTTGTACCAAAGGACTGGCTGAAAACTGCTTATATTGCTTTCTTTCAGAGTATTTTATTGTATGGCCTAAGGCTCTGGGGTGCCGCCTCTGGGGTCAAGAGAGTTCTGCGCTATCAAAAGAAAGCAGTTAGAGTAGTAGCTGGTGCTGATTATTTGGACCATTGCAAACCCATATTTGTAGCTGAGAGCTTAATGACAGTTTGTAACCTCTATATTTTTCAGTCCTTGATCAAAATCAAGAAGGAATGGGATTCTCTTGAGCTGAGAGGCGACATCCATCCCTATAATACACTAGGAAAAATGATATCAATTTACCACATGTTAGATTAAGTAAAGTTCAGATGTCGAATGAGATTCTAAGTTATAAGTTTTTTAATAAACTTCCTTTTGCAGCTCGGAACCTGCCGGACCCAAAATTTAGAAAAGGTGTTGAGGGGCTCCTTTTGGCAAACCCTTTGTACAAAAACAGAGAATTTTTTGATTTGAAAGAAGAACTTGTAAGTAGTTTTTTTTTAGTTTTTCAACCGAGTGCTGTGTGCTGTTTTTTTTTCCTTCTCTTTGCATGGAGAGTTTCAGGAATGTAATTCTTTATATTGGTAAGAAACCTTGTACCATTGTCTTATTTTAGTTTTTATTTTTTTAGCTATAGTTGACTGACGTTTTCCAGCAATGTAACCACATTTTATGGAAATAAAAATTCTTGATTCTTGATTCATCAGAGCAGCATTGTCAGTACAAGCATTTTTGTCCTGAACAATGGGAACGAGGTTTATGGGGTAAAAATTGGGTTTTCTCATTTGCTTTACCCTCAAAACACCCCCAAAGGTTTCCCAATTTTTCTCTAGAACATTTTAAATAGCTTAAAAACAAATAATTTAGTATATTAACGTGTTTTTGTATGGTTATTAGTTACGGATAAAAATACTAAATTTGTAAATTTAAAATTCCCATGTTATTCTTATGTAGAATAGTGTAAAATGATTTTGTTTGTTAGTAATAGATATATCTCGATCAAACTTGTCAAATTTATTTGTTTTATACTAGGCTATTAATATTTTACTATAAACACACTTTATTAGCCTCCTTGTAGCAGCAGACCTAGGTAATCATTTAACGCAATGCTATTTTAGGTTTAATTGAAAATCAAATAAGTAAAACGGAAATTCGCTAGGTCTGCAGGTTTGCTGTGACGGGGGTATTTAATATTTTCTCTTACTCCTTGTGATCCTTCCCTCTTATATAGTAAAGAATTGCAATTATTTTCAATAATCCCCTTTTGTATAGAGCATGGAGGTAACTAATTTTATTACTTTATGAATAAATGTTTAAATATCGTAAAAAAGTAATAATATTTCGAAACACCCTGTATGGAGTGGTTTAATACACTTAAAACTAGTCCCAATCGATTTAAAATAACTAAACCCATCGAAAACCACACCTCACTCGACCTTAAACGTAAAAACGAAATTATTTACAACAATTATTTATTAGGAACAAGGGCCATTCGGATCAAAAAGGGCCCCAAAAAGGGCCTTAGGACGCCCCAAATTTTGGGGACTCATCGGATCTTCATTTTTCATATTATTAGTAACTCACAGGTGAAATTTCATAAATGTACAAATTTTGTTGTTTATAAAACCCTATTTTACCTGTACTATTTGTACGTAGAACTTCATACATATTAAAATGCACTCATTATACCCATACCCATGACTGCCCATCAGCATAGACTTCTGGATACGGAAGCCGTTATTTAAATCATAGATCTAATAGTGAATGATAATACCGTAGTAATTTCCGAAGGTTTTCTTTAATTACATAGCGTTTGGCTCAATGCCTTGATGATTCAAGATTCGGCCAAGTATTGAAGAGCAGGATTCCGTTATAATATACCGTAGATGTTTTTTTTATTGTATTGTAGAATGCTTTTTTATAGGTACATATTTGAAGATTTAGGTCGTTTCTCAAAACGTTGTCTCTTTTGTTTCGCCATGGCTAGAGGAGGCTGATATTATATGGATGATAACAAAAAATTATCAAAATTCAAATTTTAAATGCACTTAAATGCCAAATAGGGGATTGTGGGGTTGTAATAAAGTCAAGAGCCGGTTGATTCTCCTACTTAAATATTTTGTTACATTGGTGCCAATACGTCAACCTTTTACAGGGTGTTGATGTTCTAGCAAATATGCCGTACCTACTAGTGCTACCTCCTACCTCCAGTTGTATTTCTAGCCATTTCTAGCTCAGCAAAAAAGAGAAAGAGTGTAAACAAATAAAAATCCCAAAAATAACTATAAGCTTTAAAGACTGAAATAACAAGAAACAAATAAAAAAAAACACAACCTCTATAGTGCTCAAGCACGGCCGCCTTTAACTCCAGGCCACGGCCTTCGAACTGGCAACGTCGCAAGTGATGGTGTTGTAACAGCTGTTTCTGTTTGGAAGCAGCTGGTATTTGTGTATTTACGAAAGATTGGCTACTGGACTGTGACAATATTGACTCCGCTTAAAAATGTACAGATAAAGATTTTAATTCATATTGTTTAGGTTTTTAATTCTGTATGTTTTATTTTCAATATTTTAATAAATTTATGTTCTTAAATTTAAATCAATAAAGTGCGAATTAATGAGCTGATGTCAACTGTCTGCCATGTTATCTTATGGGACGTTTGTCACTGAACAACACCACTTGCGACGTTGCCAATTCTACCAGGCCGCACTGTAGTTAAAGGCGGCCGTGGCTCAAGACAGAACTAACAATAAAACTAGCTTCATCTGCTCCATAAGGATGAGAGTTTGTTTTATCGATGGCCATCCAAAGTTTGTGCCAAATGTTCAAACGTAGTTGGTGTGAGCAAAAAGATAAAATGTTGACCTAGATTCGTATTCTGACTTCTGATATTAATGGAGGAAATATTTTTTTGTATTGGTGTATCGCCGTTTGTAAATACACTAAATGAGTTCGAACCATAGACTAACCAACACATTATGTTTTATCTATGGTTCGAACAGTCAAGAGCTCCAAAGTCAAAGACTAAACGAATATGGGTTAGAAGTTTAATATAATGTTTAGTAAAATTATTGACTATCAAACTCCTTGGATATGTACAATATAATCAACGGTAATAGTCAACTTAATAGTTTAATTGCATGGAGTAATGAAAAGGCCGGCCGGTGTCGCCGGAGGATGGTAGGGAAAATATAATATTAATATTGGAATCGGATTGGATTTTACCGATTTTAGTAGAAGTCTAGAAGTAGACTAGAGAAGAGAAGAGAGAAGAAGTGACCAGGTGTTTGATGTCTGATGTCAACCCCAACCCCAGTCCCCAACTGTCAAGTCAATTAGTCAAGCAAGATTCCAAGATTGTCTTGCCAAAAAGTCTAGTCAGTCAAGTCAAATCATGTGTTTTGTATACTGTACAAGTGTACAGTGATGTATTGATAGAATATTGAAGTGATGTCATGTCCAAAACCAAACAGAAACTAAGATAATAATAGTAAAATAGTTTGAACTTCTATGAACCAGTGTTTTCGTACCGTACATCATATTATGTAAACGAACATTTCTGCTGATCAAGCTATAATATTATCATTTTAAAGCAAAGTAGGCTAATTCATTAATCAAGATGTGGTTTCTTTATCTTCTTAGTTGGATAGCTCTTCTTGTGCAAATTTCCTTTATAACTGTATCTTTGGGTAAGTTTAGGTTATGTTTTTATGCTAATTCAGAGGTTACAATTTTTATCCTAAAATTTAGGAGAAAAATTTTGTACTTGTGGTTGCACTTTAGTATTATAACTTACTATTATACATAAACTACCAGCTGATTATAAAATGAAACTGTTCTAGGTTCTAAACCAAACCTAACCTTAACGATAGACAAAAAGAATTAAATATAGACTTTCAGCTGTGCTGCGGTTACCATGGTTACAATAGGTTCTGGCGCACACCACTAGGAGCGCCTTGTAGTTACATAGTGTGTACACCCTAACTACATGGCGCTCCCAGGGGTATGCGCCAGAACTTATAGTAACCACAGCACAGCTGACGGTCTATATTTAATTCTTTTTGTCTTTGCCTTAACCAAACTGCGGTAACTTATGTAAGTAAATGTAGGAAACTAAAGTGCAGCTTAACTTGTTAGTAAGTTTTTTAGAATACGAATAATAAATACACTTGCTTATTGCTCATGTAACCACTTGCTCTTACGCTTGAACCATGCCCTCGTGCCTGCACCCAGACTAACGAAAAGGAAGCGTGATCCATGCGCAGGCCCGAGGAGCGGCTCACAACACTTTACTTAACAAAATGAGAACCATGGATGGAGGTTCAAGAACAACACGCCATTTGAGAGAAACGAGCTGTAATTAACCATTTAAAAGAATAACACAACAATAACATTAACAACAATACATGAAGTAAATACTCTCAATTAAAGTTTAAATAATTTTGATACCACTCTGACCTACAAACTTACAAACATTAATTTAAAAAATTCAAATAGGCTAATTTCAGTCAAAGTAAATTTAATCAGTTTTATTTTTTTTTTTTTTTACTAAAATATTATAAAATTGCAACAGTAATTAAATATATAAATATATACATCTTTCATCTGGAATTGGTAACCTTAAGGATTTAGGGGCCCCAAAATTGAAATTTAATAAAATATGTAATAAATTATAAAATCTAAAAAAAAATCAACAAGTAGCCTAGGCTAAAGAATTTAAAATTTGAAAAGAATAACAATTAATAAATTTCTGTGCACAATTAACAAATAACGAAATCTCCAAGTCCAGGACGGTGGTTATCAATAATTAATTAGGCCTAAAACTTGCGGAATTTGCGGTACTAGTTCATGTTTCTGGGCGAGCAGCACCGGAGGGGAAGCAGGCATGACGGAAGAGGGGGGCCAAGATCCAGGGGTGGCCAAGAGTTGTAATTCCCACTCCGCCAAGGCTGATGCAGACTACCGGTCCTCCATGTTCCTCCTCACGGGCCCCAAAAGGCGCGCGTGGCGCACTTGAACTACTCCATAACCTCGCAGACTAAGCACAAATTAAAAAACATACACAACCTTGTATAAATCATGTGCCAAAAGGGCGATGTAAAACGATGGAAAAATGTCTGCGAGGTTAACTAGTTGATTGTCACGCAACCTCTCAAGTGCTTGGCGGTGGGAGTAATAAGAACAAAACCCACAGCCTTGTTCGGGGTCGTGGAGTGAGAAACACTGAACTAGCCTACTATAAAAAAAACACTTGAACCATTGATCATGAGTCGTGACATTCGCCCGGTGGAAATAGTCACGGCTCACGCTCAACCAGATGACAATGCTGATTAAGTTATTAATTCTGTAGCTTTGCCTACGTCTAGGCAATATAAGTTATTACTTGAGAAAGCCCGGGTCCCTATTCAATTCAAAACTCGGGCCCCTTACACTCCCCTCCCCACTACTACAAGAATAGGCTAATGATATTTTTTTATTATCCTCACATTTCTCCTAAATCAAACAGACATAAATAGCCCAAGCTCTATTCTTGGGTACAGTTTCTTTACTGGGCTATGCTTATATCGATTAAAACTATCAATCCTTCATGTGATTTATTCACTAACTTCAGCAAGTTTGGTTTGTTAGGTTAGGTTATGATAGTTTAATTTTATAAGTTAATGAAAAATATATTATTAGGTACCTAATCAATATTTTCAATTCGATAAACTTAGTTTCAATCTATATTAGCAGTTACTGTACCCCTATTTTTGTCTATTATAGCCTAAATTGACTCATTAACCCTCCGAGTGTTATTTGTCGATGCGTCGACACATAACACACTTTGTGTAGTGTTTTGTGTCGATGCATCGACTCACAAACACTGTTTATGGCGAAGGCTCTATGACTGACAAAATCGGATTGAACTGGATCGAGTTAAGTTAGGTATCGTTTTATTTGACAGATTCAGAGCTTTCTCCGGAGGTCTGTCTCTAAGCGCTTTTCATTTTAGTTCCGAAAATATTGTAGCAGACAGCTGACGTGCGTATTTGTAAACAGCTTGGTTAACCTCGGACCGATGACTGATGTGTTTTATGACGTTTATCATTGTTTTAGTGTTAAAAATCAAAAGTAGTGATATACGTGGTGCATTATAAGAAGATTTGAGTGATTTTGAAGGGCTGGTTGATGATCCTGAAGAAGTAGGTAGTGATATTGATGTAAATTATCAGCCAGATTCCTAGCTATGGTTAGGCTATGCATTCTTAGCTAAACGCTATGTACTGAAATCTGTTTTTTGCCCATAACTTATTTATTTGCAAATCTACTTCCTTATATTATTATTATTTGTAATCCTCATAAAATTTAGAACAAAGTGGCTATTTTCAAATATTTATACTTAGGCCTATAATTTATACAATTTCATTGAGCGCAAACTTATTTTTTTTTAATTTTCCAAAATATTTTTTTTTACCTAAAAAAATTTTTTTGAAACAAATGTTCCTTATGTTTTATGTATAATATTGATGCCCATGATTTTCCAAACAAAATGGTATATAGAACAGTATAATTAACATTGTTTTCAAGCTTCTCAGATCCGTTTTAATAAAACCTTGCAAATGAGCAAAAAATAGGCAGACATTAAGGCCAAAACAAGGGACACTCGGAGGGTTAAATTTTATAACACAGACAGACCTGTCAACCTGGGAGGAATTTAACCCCAGCCTAAAAGGGGGTCTAGGCGTTCCCCCCCCAGAAAACTTTTGAAAATTTGCCTGGAAAACGGGTTGTTAACCATTTTTACTCACAATAAATAGAGTTTTAAATAGGCTAATAATATTTTCCATTTCACATCATCCTAAACCGGGTACTTTCCTGTTAAGGGGAACGTTTATTATTATCGATGATTTCTTTTAGGTATATAGATATTTTTTTTTCCTTTACAATCCATATTCCATCTGTTTAAATATCTTTAAACACATTTAAATTACAAACAGACATAGCAAATATGTCTAAGTTATACAATAACCAAGTTATCGAGTTAGAGCTCGTATTAGAGAATAGGATTAAGAACTAAGTAAGCTTGCTCAGGCAAAAATAATAGCTTAGGATTGGACTAAGAAATGAAACTAGGTATTCTAAACTAACGTAACATAACTAAATAAATAAACTTGCTGTGCTAAGTTACCTTCGAAATTCCGTTTGATAACAGAAAAGGCACATGGGGAATAGGCTATCAAACAGAATTTTGAAATGTTATAGCAAGTTTGGTTAGTTTAAGTTAGCTTAGAACAGTTTCATTTTAATATAAATTTTTTTATTGTTTGTTGATACTGAACAATATTTATTTATTGTAGTTGTCAGCTGATAAGTTTCAATTTGTTAATATCAATATATCAAATAAAAAAAATAAAATATTGATGTATCGAAAAAAATTATTGATAATAATGAATGTTCCCTTTAACAGGAAAGTACCCAAAAACGTTCAAAAGTTATTGGAAATAGCAAATTTGAAGCACACTATGAAAGTGAAATAAAACTACATCTTTTTGGCCTGGTGAGCACAGTTTACCTCTTTTCGGCATACTGTGCAGGTAAAAAAACTGTCTTTAACTTACCTGGGTGCCGATCTAATAAAGGGCCATTCAACAGTCCATTCATTTTTATATCTTGTTTTGTAGGCCCTTTGAAAGACCCACTATAAAAGTTGCTTTACCTTTGGTTCCAGTTTCATCCAAATCACTCTCCATCACACACCTACTAGGCCTACTCTACTCTAAGCCTACTTCTTAACCGACAAAATAAAACTTAAATAAAAACTAACAGACTACATACTTGGCTATTTTGCGCCTGAATTCAACGTTTAAGGTTATGTTTACGTGACAGAACGACAGACGAATGAGATGACAGTCCCGCCCAGACAGACTCGGATGCAGAACTACCATCCTAACGTTAACGTGATGAAAAATTCCCTATTGTGTATGTAAAATTTGTATAGTATAAGATATGCGTGAGATTTCTACTGAAAGCGGGAGTGAACATCAGAATGCGGGAGAGTTGGAAGGTCTGTATAACGTCAGTGATGTTTGTTCCGTTTTTGACTGTGGATGTTAATCTAAACCTGTAACTTCATAAATATTTTTATAGCCCATAAACAAAAGGTAACTGGGTCCATGTTTGACACTAAAATTCAGCTACACCACTGCATGAACCATTCAATACACATATAGTTAACATTTATTGTAAGATAGGTCTACTCAATAGTTTACGTTAATGTTAGAAGTCTACTCATTACTATTAACTTAAATGACATTTTCCAGCTGCTGGCTTATACTACATTGCAGAACTAGTTGAAGAGTACACAGTATTATCGAAAAAAATAATAAGATGGATGACAGTTGTAAGTAGACTTTATACTACAAACCTGAAAATTTGAACTGTTTACAACCTATCTAGACTAACGCATGCAGTCCTATATTTTATTAAACCACTCTTATTTATTGGGATGTAATGTAACCAAATTCTTAGAAAGAGGATTAAACTAACTTATATACCTACTAAGTTTTGTTATTGTATACATCAATGAGGGCTACTTTAAATGTTACTAAGCAAATCAAAATACCACCTACTAAGTTATATAAGGTGCCATGAACAAAGGAGGTAAACAGGGTCTGAGCTAATGTATCCAAGTGAACTCCTCAATAGGCCTACTTATTTTTGCTTTTGTCGACGTGAGTGTTTTTAGTTTTTGTGAAGTAAATGAGTGTAGTGAATGGTTTGCTCTGTATTTGACTTAATTAAAGCCTCCTACTGTTTCTTTATTTAGGAACTCTAAACCATTTTCGGAAATGATAAAAAAAATAAAAACAATTTTCAATTTTGGTAAACAATAACTAACAAATATTCCTAGTCAAAACCTTATCTATGTTAAGACATGATTAAAATAAACATTAGGTACAGTAGAACCTCGCTAATCCGACCGCGGATGGTCCGTCTCCTCGCTTGTTCCGACCGTGCCGCCGACACAATAGCCTTTCGCTAGTCAGACCTTGGCGAGGATTCCTCCTCGCTTAGACCAATCACATCCTTATCGGCGTTTTGTTTACGTATCCGGTCGTCGCTCCGTTCAAGTTGATGCTTGTCGATGACTCATCACTGGCAATGTAAGTCAGTAGGCTGTGGACTTTTGGTTCAGTACTGTACGTCTGATAAATTGTGCTACAGTAAACTTGATCCGTGTGTGTACCCTATCTGCGTTTTTGTGGTTTGTGTTATTGTTTATTTATTTACTGTATACAGTAGTGTGTAAAAACTACATTACTAAAAAAATGTAAACACATCAGGCTCTCATTAGTGGAGAAGCTGAAAGTACTTGATTAGACAAAGGTGAGATTGTTCAAAAAATTTCAAGTGAGATAGGAGTTGGCCATAACAAAAATTAAGGACTGGAGTGCTTTGTGGGTACGGTTTGAACAGGAGAGAAGGAAAGGAACTTCATTATCTGGACCTATAATCAAAGAAAAAGCACTAGTTTTGCATAACAAAATGGGAGAGGACAATGACAATGAAAAGTTTACAGCAATTGAAGGATGGTTACATCATTGGTGTTGAAGAAACGATATGGGATTTGTAACGTAATCATTTCTGGCGAGAAACTGTCTGCTGATGAAACAGCCTCTAACGAACTCATTCCTAAGTTTGAAAACGTAGTTAAACAACATAATTTGACACCTGATCAAGAATACAATATTGACAAATCTGGTTTGAACTATAAGATGCTTCCCAAAACAACTCTTGCTGCACAAAATGCATCTGTACAAGGTGCTAAACTCGCCAAAGACAGAATAACAATCACTCTCTTTTAGAGATTGGTTTTTTGATCAGTTCGTCCCTTCCGTAACAAAACACTTGAAGGAAAAAACCTCCCTTAACAAGCCATACTAGTACTTGACAATATTACATCTCACCCCTCTGAAGAAGAACAAAAAAGGAGAAATAAGAGCTTTATTTCTTCCTGCGAATGTAACCTTTCTAATCCAACCAATGGACCAGGGAGTAATAGAGTGGCTAAAGAGACGATACCGCTGAAAATACATTGGATCGATTTTAGAAAGGACAGAAAAAACAATCAATATAACAGATGTTATCGACGCAGTTGCCTATGCTTGGGAAGAAATGCCATCCTCCACACTTGAGAAATCCTGGCGCAAACTGTGGCCAAAAATGAATGAAACCAATGAAAATGAAATAGAACCAGGAACAATTGGTGAAATCCAAGAAGAAGCTTCACCTGACACGAGTGATGAAGAAGAAGATATAGACACACCAGCGATTGTGAGGGATCTGCAAACTTTACAACTGGAAGTTGAGCCCAATGATGTATGTGAATAGATGGTTACAGCTGACGTTGGTTGCACAACAGAAGAGGAATTGAGTGATGAACAAATAATTGAAACTGTGACTGAAACAGATGACAACGAGAAAGATGATGACGTTGATGAAGACAATGAACCCACATCACATGCAGAAGCTAAGAATGCATTTAATCTAGCGCTTCGGTTCGATAGAAAGTTCAACGTCTACACCAATGGACATTTTGTGGCTAAGAAAATTGAGGAACGTCACAGTCAAATCAAGATTGTGGTCTGCTAAGCAAAAGAGCATAACAGACTTTTTTCGACCTGCCAAGGAACATTTAGTTTGTGTTCCGTTTCATTAAGTTATGTGTAGTTATTTTCTGCTTAATTTGAAATTAATACAGTAGTACAGGTATACTGTACATTAGGCTACATAAATTTTTCATACAGTACAGTACTGTAGTATGCTTAAAGTTGTTCAGGTATGAGTTAATATCGCTTTTGTTTTTATTTAACAACGCATGCTAGGAATTTTATAGGCCTATGAGTCAATGTAGAAATGTTTTTGTTGTACAGTACTGTAGCCTAAACTGTAGTTTCATTACGTTTTTATGTAGCTGTGATTTTAAACGTTAAAGTTTTTAATTCTGAACCAAGGTTAATGACTTGGCATATTATCATGATTGCGAAATAACCTACTGATTGTATTTTGATGATGTAATATGTAAATTATCACAATAAAGTCCTTTTATACAGTATTAGGCGTTGTTTATGAGTTTTAGTGCAATATTTCATGTTCAAAATACAGTTTTACTATGTTTTTATGTCAATAAACGCGTTCCTCTGATAATCCGACCTTTTTGCTGTTCTGACCATGCTCCCGGTACCGAAGGTGACAGATTAGCGAGGTTCTACTGTATCAGCAATTTGACAAATACTTTTTCCTACCGGTATTAGCTTGTCAACAACCCTCATAATAAGCAGGCTGTGTTAGTAACTATCCTATAGGTACTCTAATACGAGCCTATATCAGATACCGAGCAAAGTCTGTTTGTCTGTCTGTCTGTCGGTAATATAGGCCTATATCTCGAAATCCAGGGGAAGGATTTTGACCAAATTTTTGAATTATGGACTTATAGCCTTAAAACGTGATTCGAAAATTCATATTTCGCTACACAACTCATTTGAAAACTTAAAAATTTCACATTGGCCTTATGGGTTGCAAAGTAATCAGGCCTATGTTGGTTGAACAAAATAACAATTAACACCTTTATCGAGCCTTGACTCCCATAACGTTAGTAGAGCCACCTGGTCTACGAGACCGGCATGTAGAAATCTTCACTTTTCCCGCTAAAAAAACAAGGGAAATAATGGGAAAGCATATTTTTATATCTTATATATTTTAACAATAAAAAAGAAAGTGTTTTTTTTTCAATATATATGATGACAAAAAGTATTTACTACAGAAAAATACAACTTATAACATAAAAAGTGTAGCCTAATATAAAAAGTGTTTAATATAAAAAAAGTGTATAATATAAAAAGTGTATAATATAAATGCCCCCGCCGCAGCAAACCTGCCGTCTAAGCGAATTTCCATTTGGCTGAATTGATTTTCAATTGATCTATTTAAATAACATTAGGTTTAACGAGTACCTAGATTTGCTGCTACAAGGAAACTAATAAAGTATGTGTTTTAAGTAAAATAATTATTGCTTAGTATAAAATGAATATATTTGCCAAGTTTGATCAAAAGATATCCAAAAACAAGCAAACTACAACATTTTACAATATTCTCCATAAGAATAACATGGGAATTTTAAATTTACCATTTTTTTAGTTTTCTCCGTAACCAATAACTATACAAAAACACTTTGATATACTGAATTGTTTGTTTTTTAAAGCTCTTTAAGAAGGTTTAGAGAAAAATTGGGAAATTTTGTGTATTGAGGGTCAAAAGTGAGAAAAACCAATTTTTACCTCATAAAACCCCCCATAAAACCCTGTTCCCATGATCCGATCATGCTGGATCGCGAACTCATTCAAGTTTATCCCGCCTTACACCTTCAAACCAAATTTCATCAAAATCGGATAAAAATTACTCAAGTTATTGTGTTCACGGACACATATATATATATATATATATGTACATATATAAAAATTTGAACGAATGGTGTTTTTGGCCTCTGGGGACACCAAAATGAAAAAGTAAATCGGTCCCGGGCCTAAGTCTTACCATGAGACCTACGGTAATAGCTACTTCCCTATAGGGAAATTCGCTAAAAATGAAAAAATGTTTTAGAAATAAAATGAAAAAGTATGTTTCAATGAGCAATCTATATCTAAAAAAATTTTCACTTGGAGGTCAATGTTTCCATTAAGGGCTCAAACTATGTCTTTGGCACAGTCTACACACACGTTTCGGGTACACTCCAAACATACTGGGATGTCACATTGAATGCACTTGTACTGTGTTTTGCGTTCTTTTGCTGATGGGCATTTACCATAAGTTTTGCGCTTCTCCATTTTATCAGAAGGAATTGCATCACCTCGCATTTCTTGTCAAGTTTCACCTAAAATTAAAGTAGGGTACAAATAAAATAATACCTTAATTTATAAGTTTTACGTTACATGCAAAAATATAACACTGGTGCGAATACGTGGAAATAAATAAGAATGTAATATATGCATAAAATGAAGGACAAAATAATATATGGCAATTAATATTCCATATTTACATAGTATTCTCTGTATCTCTTGTTTGACGTCCCTTCGTAGTTGTGGTATCGTAAGTCTTCTCCTCATGTGGGGCTCCACTAATGTTTGGGCCAATTCCTTAGTGAACTGAAACCGTGTCATCATTTCAGAGCACACGAAACACATGTATAGAATAAAAGAATTCACACTGGCGATGCTAAGAATCCTGAAGAATATCGCCAAGGGCCATCTTCGTGTGCGTCGACTTGAACTATAGATCGCACACTTCATGTCCAATAAATCAACACCGGCTTTGGATTTGTTGTACATACACACAATTTCCGGT